AATAAATTAATAAATGAGAGTGCAAATGCATGAGGGTATACCCTTGCGATCGTGTGGGAGTCCCACAAACATGGCCTTGACGGCACGGGGATCGAGCTTGGATGATTGCGCGGCACGTTGAATATGCACAAACGCGGTGCAACCAAAGGTTTTGATGTGACCCAAAGATGGGTGTCGTTTAAAGACGACGTGGTAGCACCTTGATCGGTGTTTCCGACGCGGCTGTGATAATATCACTGCGAGTGGCCGAGAAGGCACTGGGTGGGAACAGTGGAAGACCATTTTGGTTGGCAGGAATTTGGAACAATGGTCGTGGTGGGTAGAGGGGCAACGCTCGGTAATAAGTACCTCGGCAGAAGGGACTTCAGCGAAGTCTAAATCGCCGGCATCCACAGGAGATGGAAAGTGGTCGGAGAGCTCGCCTGGTGCGTCAGTGATGGGAGCGAGGGTAGTAGCCGCAATAAGCGGAGGTTCATGGGGCGGAGATGCAAAAACATCACAAAGTGGGGCAGAGCCCGGTTAGAACACCTTTGGCAAAACCGATGGTGGGTTGGGGCGTTGGAGGACCCGGTTGAGAGTGGAGGGAGGCACAAAATGGTGGGATAAGATGTGGGTGTTGGCAATGCCATTGAGGCGATTGCCTTGATGGATAAATGGACGAGCGGCTGCACGAGAAGCAGTGCCAGCCTGGTCATAAAGACCCCCACGATGAGTGCGGCCGTAGCCCTGGTCGCGTTGTCGATCACGGCTGCGATCGCGGTCGCGATTTTTGTCACGACTGTTACCACGATTGTTGTTCCACCCGCCATTTCCAGGACCACATGGTGGCTATTAGAGCCCTGGTTGCCACTAGGGCCATCGCGATCATCGCAGTCATCACGAGGACGTTGGATAGGACGCGACGGAGCGACATAATCGCGTTTGCGCTTCTTCTGGGAGGCAGAGCCATGTTTGTCAAAGACGGCGCGGTCAAAACCAGGACGCATAGTGTTGCGGGCATAGCGACTTTAGGGTGGGGCACGCAGGAAGCGTGTGATTCGTAACGCCGAAGTAGAAGCAGGACTTGCCGGGGTGATTGATACAATCACGGTGAGCATAGCTCGGGATAGTAAAGGCGTTCATAACATGAACTGAGCCATCGGCTTGCGTAATCGCTTGAGGTGGTGGTGGAGGGACCGCAACGGCATGCGTGACAGCTGCAAGCTGTGTTCGCGTTTGAAGAGTAGCGGCAGAGCCGTTATCACCCAGAGCAGAAGCTCGTTGGAGACGGTTGGTAATAATACGCCGAAGAGAGGCCCAAACGTCAGCAACGACAACGGACTGGTTGGCGGCGCGCGCGGTGGCCACAGAGTTGGTCACGACTTCCCACAATTCCTTGTCACCAATAAAGGTGTCGGGCATCGCACACAGAGTGTAGTAATACCAGATATGGTTGTGGTAGTCGACGGACGAAATCGCCGATGGATCCAAAGGATTGAACGACGGCGGCGTCATAGACACCCGGTAGCGTTTGACAAGGTCAATAAGCTCCACAGAGAGAGTATCAATGCAAGTCTCATCGGTGAACTTGAGAGTGCGCAGATAGCTGGCAATGACCGTGGGGTTATTGTCCATGGGGTTCGACTCGAAACGAGTCTTGATGTGCTCAAAATGCCGAGTTGATTCTGCAGGCCCTTTGGTCATTCCAGTTTCTTCTCTAAACTGAGCCCTCACTGCTGCCCAACCGCTGCTATTCAACACCAACTCCAACCTGTTCCTTCGTGCCGAAGGGCACTCTGACGACATGCCGGTACGCTCAACACCCCGGGACGCCCAGTACTGACACGAACAAAGCACTGAGCCTGGACCGGAGATGCCCGGGCCTCCGTTAAACTTGAGCAAGGCGGTCTTGGTGCACGTTTTCACAAAACCCAACGGTCTTCTTGACGCTCATCATGGCCGTGTCTCGGCCATTGATTTCTACGAGGAGGTCGCCGATGTGCACGTGCCGCAGCGCGTCGCAGCACGGATCCCGACACACGAGCACGACCATGGGGTACACGCCCTTGGCGAGGCGACACTCGCGCAGCTGGGCATCCACCAACGCTTTGTAGTGACCGTCTTCAATTTTGAAGAGCGAGTCGTGGGTGCCATCTTCCAACACACTGCCATGGCTCAGCACGACAATGCGGTCAGCATCTCGAATCGTCGACAAGCGTTGGGCAATGATGATGGTGGTGCGCTGGCGAGACGCCAGCAATCGAGGATGCCGATGCTGCGGTTCTCGTTCCACTTGATCAAGTATATGGCGCTGTCGGGGGTGTCTGCCTTGGACACACGCTGGCTCTTGAGGCGACCCCGCACGGTCAGATTCATGTTGACGCTGTTGGGTTCCAAGAGGGCGATCGTTTGCTCTTCGAGCTCCTTCAGCCAGGGCCCAGCGGTGTAATTGAGAGCCGCAGCAAGTCTAGTTTTCCGTGTGTGATCTTACTACCGTATGGTCGAATTGAGACGATGCACTCTCTGGACCGTGGATTACGATGCAAGCTATGGAAGGGGTCGATTGCCCTTTGTATGATTCCATGTCATCAACGGCGAGTAACGTACTTAATGAACCTATCTGTTGTCGTTTTTAAAAGGGGGCATTAGCCATGACAGTACAAGTATCACTGCCATATGACTAGCAGCGTACTTACTGATGCCGTATTTAAAAGGATGGCATTAGTCATGACAGTGCTGTACTAGCATGTGACTCGAGCAATGGATTGAGTACGCAGCTGTGGTTATATTTACGGGATAAGCTCATACGGCACTCGTCATGACGAGAGATGGCAATGAACTGCGTTGATATAAACTCAAGTACAGTGAACGAGGGAATTTAAACCACA